GGGTGAGAGAGAAAGGAGGGGGTGAGAAAGAGAAATTGCGAGGATGAGAAGGAAATTGGAGCGGGAGGAGAGATTGACATTCATCACATACACACAATGCACCCCTTGCACACAGAAAAACACACAGACACACATACACAAACAATGCAACCGTTACACACAATGCATCCCTTACACACACAGAAACACACAATGCATTCATTACACACACTCAATGCACCCCTTACACACATTCAATGCATCCCATACATACACAGAAACACACCTTGCCGTCCTTACACATACAAACACAATTTCACACAATGCATTCCTTACACACATATCAGGACATCCCCTACACACTCCACCACCTGTGAACAAACTCATTGGTGGAACATGAAGGTGGACCCTGGGACCCAGACCTTGAGCTGTGTAAAGGACCCCCAAAAAATGCAGCTGCTTCCCGTTCTCCCAGAACATTGATTTTTGTGACCACAGTTGCAAACCGCCTCCAGAGAGCCTGTTCTACACCAGACCAGTGGAGCCAGACTGCAGCTAGAGCCCATTATCATCCTCATCTGGTTGTAAGTAGGCAATCTAGTATATTATTCGTGGCACTAAGCTCTAATTTACCTCACATTAAAGAAACACTATAGTCCCCAGAACCACTTCAGCTTAATTTAGTGGTTCTGGTGTCTCTAGCCTGTCCCTGCAGGCCTTTTAATGTAAACACGGCGGCACTGCAGCACTGGCGTTAGTTAACATGGCAAATCATATGGCTGGGGCATTGTGATGTCACATGGGGGGCGGCAAACTTTACTTTTGCCTAGGGCGGCAAAAATCCTTGTACCGGCCCTGGCTGGAGGGAGCTGTGTGAGCTGTGGCCGCACAGTGTCCCATGGTAGTTAGGGTGCCGTGCGGCCAGTACAACTCACTCAAGCAAACAGCTGATAAACTGGCCGCACGGAGGAAATGTGTATGTGTGACTGTCTGCCTGTGACTGTGTGTGACTGTCTGCCTGTAACTGAGTGTGTGACTGTGTCTGTAACTGAGTGTGTGACTGCCTGTAAATGTGTGTGTGGGGCTGCAGGGATTTTGTAGAAGGGGGTGGGGGTTTTGTATTGGGACAGGAGTCTTTATAAGGGGGGATAAGCAGGGGATTTGTGGAAGGGGGTTGCGGGGGGTTTGTAGATGGGGCAGTACAGGATTTGTAGAAGGGGCAGGACAGAGGTTTTGTAGGAGGGGCAGAGCAGGACAAGGGTTTTGTAGGAGGGGCTGACAGCGTTTTGCAAAGTTTACAAATTGTAAAAATAAAAGAAATAAAACCTTTAACATTTTTACAGGTTTTTGGGAGGGTTTACTGTGGATCCGCCCCGGGTGCCAAATGCTCTAGGTACGCCCCTGCATACGGGAACACATATTTTTCCTGCAATATTGATTTAGCTGCCCCTGTGTCCAGCAGAAAAGGGAATATTCCGTCCCTGGTTTGTGTAACATTGATAAAGGGTGAGGGTCCAGCTGAATCAGGGATATTAAAAGCATGTAGGGACACTGGGTTACCAATTTCCTATTGGGGAGGGGGAATGAATGTCCCTGTATGTATGCATGTCTCTGTATATATGTATGCATGTATGAATGTATGTCTCTGTATATATGTGTGTATGTATGAATGTATGTCTCTGTGTGTGTATATATATGTGTCTGTATGCATGTATGTATGTCTCTGTATGAATGCATGTATGTATGTATGTATGTATGTATGTCTCTGTATGAATGCATGTATGAATGTATGTATGCATGTCTCTGTATGTATGCATGTATGTCTCTGTGTGAATGCATGTATGTCTCTGTATGTATTATTTTATTTTATTTATAAAATATTTTACCAGGAAGGATACATTGAGATTTCTCTCATTTTCAAGTATGTCCTGGGTCCACAAATCATTGCATTGTTACATTAGGGTACAATAAAATACAAAAACAATATTAATACACAATAAATACAAAATTTAACATGGAACAGGAGGAGATATATAATCAACCATGACGGGTGCATTCTGTTTTGAGGTATGTAGAGAGAGATCTCTTAAAGGACTTTAGGCTTAGGGAAGATTTGAAAGTGTGCGGGAGGTCGTTCCACAATTGCGGCGCACTGTAGGAGAAGGAGGAACGGGTGGCTTTCTTTTTGTATTGAGGTAGACTAAATAAAGTGCTGATACTGGATCGGAGGTTATAGGAAGTGGGAACAGCTGGGGAAAGCATTTTGTTCAGGTAGGGTGGGAGTTTCCCAGAAAAGCTCTTAAACACAAGGCTGGAAAGATGAAGGGTGCGTCTGGATTCCAGCGACAGCCAGTTTATTTCTTTTAGCATGTCACAATGGGGAGTCCTGTAATTACATTGTAGCACAAATCGTCAAAACGAGTTATACAATGTGTTGAGTTTATTAATGTGGGATTGCGATGCAGATGCATATACTACATAATCAATGATTGGCATCAGCATGTGCTGTACAATCTTTTCCTTTGCTGTAGGGCTTAGGCAGGATTTGTTTCTGTACAGGGCACCTAGTTTTGGATAAAGTTTAGATGCAAGCTTTTCTATGTGCAGGCCAAAAGATAGATTAGGGTCTAACATCATACCCAAGAATTTGAAAGAGTGGACTGCGGTCAGCGTGCCATTTGTTTTGATGGATAGGTGGGAATTGTGTAATTTAGGTACTGTTCCCAAGATCATTGTGACAGTTTTGTCAGTGTTCAGGAAGAGTTTGTTTTTTGCGATCCACTTTTCTACCTCTGTAAACTGGTCTTGGACCACAGCCTCAAGCTGCGGTTGATCGGATTTGCTCGCATAGATTACTGTGTCATCTGCTTACATGTGTACATTTGAGGATTTGCAGACATTAGGCAGATCATTTATAAATAATGTAAATAGTAGGGGGCCGAGCATGGAACCTTGGAGAACACCACACGTGACTGGGAGAGGGAGGGAGTCGCTGTCAGAAATGGACACATATTGCGAGCGATCCGATACATACGATCGAAACCAGGTTAGCGAATGATCACCAATACCTGAGTTTTTGAGTTTGTGCAGTCATGGTCTACTGTGTCAAAGGCCTTAGCAAAATCAAGGAAAATAGCTCAAGTTAGGTTTCCTTGTTCCATGCCAGTTTGGATGTCATTGCAAACTTTTAAGAGGGCAGTAGTAGTGGAGTGATTCTGGCGAAAGCCCGATTGATCAGGGGTCAGATAGTTAGCTTATTGGTAATACTCACATAGTTGCGTATGGACACATTTTTCTAAGATTTTTCACAATACCGGGAGTAATGATATTGGGTGATAGTTAGAAACCAAAGTAGTGTCACCACTTTTATGGATAGGCACTACTCTCTGTATGCCAGTATCAATGTATGTCTGTATGTAATTATGTATGTATAGTTGCAAGAAAAAGTATGTGAACCCTTTGGAATGATATAGTTTGGGTATGTATCCAGACACCAAGGATACGTTAATTAGAGTTGCGACGGGTTTAGCATTTGCCGGCGCACTGAGCTTCAACAGCATTGCTGGGATTTGATCAGGTCCGGACTGGTTTTTCATTTTTAGATTAATGACACTAACAGGTACAGGTCTAAAAATGAACTTGTCTATATTGGGCCTTTGCAAATTTAGTGGGACCTGAGCCACATTTGTAGTTTCAGGATGCGTGTCATTTATTAGCTTGGCCATCAGGGTGGTGGAGCATCCGACAAAATAATTGTTAAAGGCGACGGGTTTCTTCTAAGGGAATTTGCAGGGTTTGGTTATCTACTTTGACAGTGGAGGGTTGGAAGTGGATTGGGGGAGTTTGTAGTTTATTTATGACTTTCCAAAAGTTTCTAGGGTTTGAGATGTTATTATTCAGATTTTCATAGAAATATTGGGCCTTGGCCAATTTTGTCTGTTTTGTGCATATATTTCGCCATTGTCTATATGCACAGTGATCATTCATAGAGCCAGTACGCTTAAACTTTGACCACAAAGAATCCCAAAACTGGTACATTTGGATGAGGTCAGCTGTGAACCAGTTCATATGTGCTCCTTTTACCCTCACCTTACGCAGCGGGGCATGTAAATTCCAAATTTGTAGGAGTTCAGACTGAAAGAATTCCACAGCACAGTCTAGATCTGGGATAATGTTTAATCTGTGCCATGGGAGGTTCTTGATGTCATTTAGAAAGGATTCAAGATTAAAATGTTTGAAGGATCTAGTTATTTTAACCATGGGAGAGGATTTAGTAGCCTTTATTTTGCGCACGCAGTATACACTATACAGTGATCACTGAAAGTGTCTGGGAGAACACCGGCCTCCTGGATTCTATCAGGAGAAGTGGAGAGAATCCAATCTAGCAGGGTATGGTTATGGCTTTTAATGTTTATGCAAGTTGGGGAGGAGATTACTTGCATTAGCTGCAAAGTCTTAAACAGCGTGCAAGAGCTATTATTTTTAGGATTTAGCCAATCAATATTAAAATCTCCAAAGACCAACGGTTCACTTTTTGGGTTTTGAGCTATGGTTTCACTAAGGAGATGGGCTATGTCAGAAAGGGAATGCACAGGGGATCTAGGTGGGCGGTAGATTCCTGCAACAATGATTGATTAACTGCACAGGATCTCAATTGTGCCAGAAAGGAAATCAAAGGTGGCAGGAGGACTAAGGTTTCGTAAAGGGGTAAACTTTATGGAATTGTCAAAATAAATAACAATATGCATGTATGTATGTCTCTGTATGAATGTATGTCTCTGTATATATGCAGAATGTATGCCTCTGTATGAATGTATGTATGCCATAACTTCCCTCCATATATGTGGGTCTAGAGTGCCCTCTGGGGGGGCATGCCAGCTTTCTTAAGTAACCTCTTAATATTCTTAATTGCTCCTTGTCCTTTGTGATGCTTCACAATTGTAAAAGTCGTAAATCCCCTTGAGTACCTTGAGAGCTACCCATCTTAAAATTTAAAAAGGGTTAATTACTTCCTTACACAAGACAAACTGTACAAAAACAGTGTATAAGACACAGTGTATAATCCACCATTGCAGTGGATTTTTCAGTCTTGTCTTCGTTATTCTAAACACAGATCAGATCATTGAGGAAGTACTTACATACTCATAGTCCCCATAAATCTCAAAACTACTTTCTATTACCTCCTCCCTTGGGCTATCATAGTGGGCTTATTCCCCCACCTATGTAGCGGGCAATACTTAAACTTTATTTTCACTCATGAATGTACAGTGTCTAACATCTGCAATCAGGCCCGGACTGGCCATCGGGCATACCGGGCAAATGCCCGGTGGGCCGCGATGGCCGTGGGGCCGAGGCCGGCAGGGAGATCACAGGATCTCCCCGGACGGCCCCTGCAGGGCCAGCGCTACCCGAGCGCCGGCCCCGCTGT